TATATATAGAAATATATATTAAAAAGACAAGAGAATATTTCGCCACGTATCGATTAGGCAGACTATAGACTTTTGTATCCATATACAGGGTATTTATTAGTCAGGTATGCTTCATATATATAATATTTAATATGGGCTTCAAGCTTGTATATGTGCAAACATAATAAATAGCACCGTCACATTAAATTTCAAACCACTCCAGCAATATTTACAGGGTATCTGCGAGTCTAACAACCTTTGTCTAGTTCTATTTAACTATTCATTTTTCTCATTCTTATTCGATTTCAACACAAAACGTGCCAAGTTCTTTTTCTGTACACAATCTTTATTTGCAACTCTGGGCACGTTTAACAAATTTAAAAGAGTTCAACGTGCCGCGCGCTGAGAAGCGAAGAGAGCGGCGCACAGAAGAGCACAGCGGGCGGCGGGACGAGCCGTACACAGAGATGCGGCTCATCTGTGGGAGCTGGCTTATCAGCAAGGTGATAAGAGGCGGTAGGTAGGTGGGGTTACAGCTGATAGCTGCCGGCACTGACTGCCTGTCTGTGTGAGAGCATGTTTTTAACACACACACACACGCACACAGAGTCAGGGAGAACGTTAGCTTTTCATTCAGTTCTGTTTGTAAAATCGAATGCGAAACATTTCAACGCGAAATTCATTTCAAAAATGTTTGGCTTATTGAAATTCCTGTTACTAACGCTTTGGCTAATTGGTTTAAGCCAAGGACGCTCCATAGCTGCTAGGGACTGGCAGGAGGTGAGCACGTGATATATGTGTATATCTATAAAAATTAATTTAATTCTTATTCCTTACAGCGACCCACACCGGATCCAACCATGTTTGAGAATAAATCTTTGCTTGAGAACGAAATCCATATGAATGACATCGACTATATGTAAAACCATAGAGCAAACTTTGATTAATATATTAAATTTTATATAAAATATTAAACAAAATTCATATAAGGTCTGTAGTCGACAGTCAGGGACCTTTAAAGACATGTCGAACACCTATTTGTTTCCATTTGTATATAGAGATCATCAGGTACATAATACACGCCCATGTTAAATAAAAATTGCTGAATCAATCTTTATAATATAGAATTTCAGAATTTATTTATAAATCCACATACTAAATGAATCAAAGTTGTAGAATTTATTAAATCATAAAAAATATTTACTGGATATATGATTAAACTCTATTATAAATTATTATTAAAGATCTTTTACGGATTTATTGTAGATCTATTTTTCGAAAACCTTTCCAGCTAAAATAATTTGTGATTTAATTTTTTTTTTTATTCTCTTTAAAGTCAAGATCTTGCATTTATGAAGAACTTACTTCAACTCTTAGTCTAAACCGTCGAGTTTTAAAAGTATTTGGAAATCATTTTCAGATGATGTTAAATCCTAGGAGTCTATATATAGATATATACATATATGTATACCAAAAAACTAATAAAAAATATT